ATTAGATACCTTGTCTAGGATTACAACAATTGCTTTCTTGTTTGATGCTTGATGATTGCCTTTGCTAGAAATCCCCTTAGTAACTCTTGAAAACCACTTGACCATTATTGCGTAGTAACTTTGATCTTGCTTTCCGTTAATTGTTTCAAAAACCGATTTTCTTAGTTTCTTTTGCTTGCTTGTTTTCAGTATTCATTTTGTTTAGTTTCATCTTGCTTAGTACTTTCTTTAGTTTCATTCTGCATTAGTCTTTGCTTAGTTGCATTTCAATTCTGTTTTCTCTTTATTGCATTGCTAGGTTGTTAGAGTTACTCTTGCACAATCAAATCCCTCAATCTTGCTTAGCTTATTTCATTTTTTGCATCTCACATGCACAAGTGTGTCTGACACCTGATCTCTATACTGCAACTGATTCGAGACCTAGGAACATTAGCTTCAAGGACATAAAAACCCTTGTTTCAAATTGGCGATGTTGCCACTTATGGATTCTTTGAGTTTGACATTGCTGTTAGACTAAGTTATTTTCTTTCAAGTTACTAATTAGCTATGTTTTCATTGCTCTGTTTTTTCAGGTGCTTGTATGACTTTGAGGTCCAAAGGCTCATCAAATCTGATTCTTTCTATAGACAACATCCATAGAAGAAAGGCTGTAAGATAGAGAGTTCAGGAGTTAGGAATTAGATTTCATGGTCTGGCCAATGAAGATCCTTTAGACCACTTTGACCAGTTCGACAAAGTGTGTGGCATGACTAAGATACAAGGCGTGTCTGAAGATGCTTTGAAGCTGCACCTGTTTCCTTTCAGCTTAGGAGAAAAAGCACATCAGTGGGAGAAAACCTTACCTCAAGGATCAATCTCCACATGGAATGAGTGCAAAAATTTAGCTCAACAAGAACAGTAAAGCTTAGGAATACAATCAGCAACTTTGCCCAACATGGGAATGAGACATTTTCTGAAGCATGGGAACACTTTAAGTCATACACATTACAGTGTCCACAACATGGCTTCACCAATGAAAGCATGTTGTCTACTTTATACAAAGGCGTCACTCCTAAATACCGCATTCTTTTGGATACAGCTACAAATGGGAATTTCATGGGTAATATTATGGTGGATGGCCTTACTTTGGTTGAAAATCTGGCCTTATCAGATGGAAATTATGGTGAAGATTATGACAGAACATGAAGACCTGTGGGAAGCGCTGAAACTGAGAGCACAACCAAGAAGGAGATAAAAGCTTTGAATGACAAGCTTGATAAGCTGTTAAGTGCATCTTTCAAGAATGTGAGCTATGTGGGTAATGATGTTGCTGCACAAGAAGAAGATGGGACAGCTATAAAAGAAGAAGCTTTCTATATGAATCAACAAGGATGAGGCTTCAACAATTACAGGAATCATCCTAACTTCTCTTATAGAAGCACCAATGTGGCCAATCCATAAGATCAGGTTTATCACTTACAAGGTGCTCCACAAAACCAAGGAGCCAGGCCGTTTTTTCCTTTCAACCAACAGCAAAACTTTGCTCCAAGACCACCATTTCAAGGAGGACTTCAGCAATCAAACTTTCAGCCAAGACCAGCTTTTGTCCACCAGATTTTGGCAATGCACAAAGCTCATCTAGTGCTCAAGATGGTGATATCAAGCAGATGATACAACAGTTGCTGAATGGTCAAGCCAACACCACTATAGAGCTGCACAAGAAGTTTTCTGAATTACACAACAAAATAGATGCCACCACTTGTGATTTGAATGGAAAGCTTGATGCTTTAAGTCGAAGAGTTAAGTCTCTAGAGAGCAAAGGAGCTTCATCTTGAAAGCCTCAGAACCAATTACCAGGAAAGAGTGAGGCCAATCCTAAAGAATTCTGCCATTTGATTGCTGAAGAGGATGAAGAGTTTGATGATGATGAAGATGCTTCTTTGGAAGATCTTGGTATGATGATTCAAGAGATGTTACTCCATGTGGACATGGTGAAAGCTGAGTATGGGGGGAATGTTCTGAATTGCACCGTTGATGATCAAGAAGCTGTTGATATTGTTGAACAGTTCCTTCAAGGATTAGATAGAAGCTTGGATAGAGAAGAAGAGCTTGCTTTGGAAAAGAAAGAGCTGAAAGAGAAGCTGCTGAGAAGGAAGAGGCTGAGAAAGCTTTAGTTGCTCTAGAAGAAGAAGCCAAGCCAGATCTTAGTGAAGCTGACAAAGAGCTTGTAGAAACATATCATGTTTTGTTGGTCCTTGCTAGAGAAAGTCCTGAAGACTTCAAAGAGCTGTATGAACGCCAGGTGGGGACTTCTTCAAGCAACAATGAGAAAAGTAAATCTGCTTGGGATGAAGCGTACAAACCACCAATTCCTTACCCCAAAATGCATTTTACAAAGGCTCAAATGGCAGTCTACTCAAGGTTCAGAAAGGATATAGAAGATACGGGCATAAAGCTTCCTCATGGCACCACGTTGCTTGAAGTGAAGGATCAAATCCGCTTTCTCAAGGAAGTCTTTGACAAGCTAGAGGTTGTGGAGCCAATACTTGAGAATGTGGGAGCTAATTTGAAGAGGAGCAAGGAGCTTAAAACCAAAACCAAGGTGCCCAATCCAGGAAAGTTTCTGATCACTTGTGAGCTTGGGATGTTAGACAATGTGAGAGCCCTATGCGATTCAGGCTCCACAGTCAATGTTATGTCTCTCCATTTAAGCCAAACCCTAGGAATCAAAGATCTGAAGCCCTGCAAAACCTCTATCAACTTTGTGGATAATACCTCAACAAGACCACTAGGGATGGTGAAGGATTTCCCTTTGAAGATTGAGAATTGCTTGATACCAACAGATTTTGTGGATATGGAGAAGACATATTCAAGAGAGGTACCACTTCTTCTAGGAACACCTTTCTTAGCTACAGCAGGGGCTCAGGTTAACTTCAAGAGAAGCTCAGTGGTTTTGAAGAATGTTGATGAGTTCAAGGTGTACAAGATTGTGTCACCTTCTAATGCTTTTTGTGGAACCGTTGTTGAGGAAGAGAGTGAACAACAGCAACTTCTAGAGCGTGTGGAGCATGCAATGAGCTTCACAGTAAGCATGCTGATGAGAGATACTCTTTCTGATAATTCAGAAGAGAAAGTTGACACTGAGGTCAAGCTTGAGGATGATTTGAAAGAAGAGGAGGTCTTGATCACCAAAGAAGTGAAGCCTTTGATCAAACAAATTGTTAAGAAGAAGAGAACAAGAAAAACAGCTCGTAATAAGAAGAAGCGGCTATCAGTTGGTACTTGGGTTTACATGAAGAAGGGAGAAGGAGCTTCAGCTCCATCTACTTCTTCCCACTAAGTCTCTAACCATCAAAGTCAAGCTTAGTGACTTTAAACAAGCACACTTAGAAGGTAATTTCATGACTATCCTTGTATATAATGCTTTCTTTTATTACTAATGTCTTTATTTAGTGTTCCGGAGGTCAAAGAACATGTCCAAAGCTGTGTAGGGTCGTTTAAAAGCCAAGGAGAGAAGACTGTTTTCATATCGGGGTACCATATCGGGCATAACACCTGTCATTACTGCCCGATACAGTTTATCTCGGGGAAGAATCTGTCTGTACACCGAGAAAAATCCATGATAGAGATTGCATCGGGGTACTACATCGACCAAAACCTCCAAAGCCTTGCTTGATGTAATTGCTCCTAAAGCTCCGGTCCATACACCGAGGAACCAACAAAAATGCACGGTGGAGATCACATCGGGATGCTACATCGAGCAAAGCACGCGAACTCATGCTCGATATAATCACCCCGACCGCAGATTGAGATGCCAGTCTGTACATCGATGAAGTTGTCCGATGATGCTGCACCGAGGTACAACATCGAGTAAACATCTTAGTTTTTCCCGATACGGAAACTATCAAATAATTTCGAGCAAGGGACAATGGCCAGTACGAAAACCACCGACGAGCATCCTAGCTGAGTGCAAGAAGACTCACATCAATGTGCAACATCGAGCAAAACACCCATGTTACTGCTCGATGCACACCACGGACATGTTTTCGCCGGAGCAGTTCCATAATCCCCTCGGAGGACCTGCATCGGGATGTAACATCGAGCAAAACACCAATACATTTACTCGATGCAGAAGATCCGAGCCAGTATGAGCATCCGGATGATACCATGGAAAGAATCATGCAAGCCGAATTATCTCCCCTATGTCGAGCAACAACATCGAACATAACACCTTCTCAAATCCGGAGATATCCGTATATTTTCAGAGTAAATCAAATTATAAAATTAATTATCCATTAAAAACAGAGCAAACCACAAATACTAGAATTTTTCCGGTTATCCAATCCGTGTCCGCTCCTACTTTGGCTACTTGTTGTGGAGTTGGAAGTAAATACAAATTCACCATTTATGAAGAGTGTGGATGCAGAGAAGTTAGCTATTGTCAAAATCCATCTGAGAATGTGAATTGTGACAGTTCATATAACCGAAGCCACGCATCAGAAGATGGCTGACAGTATACTCAATAGTCCCAATGCAACTCCTGCTTTCGACTGGTCCTGCCCTGGCTATGCATAAGTGGATAAAGAGTACTCTTTCAGCGGTTAAATTCATTTGTTGTGAACAAAACATGAAGTGGTGATTAAAATATGGCACATTTCTAACTTTTGAGAAACTCACATCTAATCTTATTATAAAGTTTAATGTTCTCATGTTGAAAACCACAGGTTAGATAATTAACAGATTCACCAAACCATAAAATGTGTTATTGTTAATCTTAATTGACATGTTACTTTTGTTAACTAAATTTACGAGATACAGTACACCAATTCACCCAAATTAATGTTTGTGTGATTTTGATATTTAACTTAGCATTAATATAATATAACGAAATACAGGGAAATTGCATTCAACAACATCGTCATCAAGGAGTGCAAAAATAAGGCATATAACATATGCAATAGCGATCAGAAACGATCTTTTAAACCTTAATAGTATGTTTGTAAATTGGCGAAATCTTGAAATCACGAACTTGGAATCTGCATATCAGAAGGTAAGTGGTTTATAATTCGAGGAGTGCACTTTAGGGGATAAGCCAAAGCTGAGAAAAATCTCAATCTAGAAGCTTCTTCCATGCTGACTTCTATCTCCTTTGATTTCCCAGCCAAAGCACTGCCCCATCACTCCAACTGAGGTTCCAACTAAGATATAAGCTAAACTAGATCCAGGACATCCTCTCCTTCCAACACCGAACAGGAGGTACTTAAGTGATTTCTCTCTTCTCTCGCCTTCTTGCCCTTCTGATCTTGAACTAGCTAGAAACCTCTCTGACTTAAATTCATTAGGATCTTCCCAAGTATCAGGATCTCTCATCACAGCATAAGCATTAATAACAAGTGTTGTACCCTGAGGTATGTAGAAATCTCCGATCTTACAATCTTTTTCAAATTCCCTTGACAAAACAGGCGCCACTGGATGCAATCTTAGAGTTTCCTTGACGACCGCTTGCAAGTAAGGAAGTTTTGGTAAATCAGTTTCTTGAAGCAACCTTGTCTTCCCTACCACAGAATCGATTTCTTTTCTCCACCTCTCAAGGATCTTAGGGTTACTGATGTAAGCATCAAAGCTCATACAATTGGAGCAAGCAAGGAAATGAGCAAAGGAACTAAACCAGAAGAAGCATTGCTTGTAGCTGAGGATTCAAGAGGGTTCAAAGGAGTATCAACGAGCCAAAAGGGATTTATTTCTCAAGAGGAATCTTTTATACAACCAAAGGAACTGCTGGTTTTATTTAAATCAGAAGAGAACCAGGATCAAACCATTAGAAGATCAAATCAGGTGCCTAGAACCAATTTGGAGTCGTTTAAGGAAACTGGGAGAAGAGGCCCATTTCATTCGACTCACCCTCTTATTCTACATTCTCAGATGACTTCAGAAGATATACAAGCCAATATACAAGTCAAAAACCGGAGTTATTCTATTCAAACCCAAGGAGAACCACCAAAACCGCCAAATCAAGTTAATGGAGCATTATTGGAATCATCTGTGAAAAGCAGGGGTTTATATTCTATCAAGCCACTTTATCCCCTATATATTAAAAGAGAAGCATTTTTAAAAAATAACCTTATTTTTGTAAGTATTTTTGTAAGTATTTACAGTGGTGCCATTATGCTGATGTGTCAACTCCACATTCATTCTGAGCTAATTTTTTAAAAAAACCTTAGATTACTAGACTAATTACATGATATGCCATTGTCTATTTTAGGTCCATAAATATGTTATGTCTAATTTTTAAATCAGCATTTAATTTATTAAGATATTCTCTTTCTTTTATTTCTTACCAAAAATATATCATATTAATTATTTCTTTAATTACATTTCTACCAAAAATCTTTTTTATCTTATTTTCATTTAAACTTATACATCATTCATATAATAAAAAAAATATATAGATTTTTTATACATGTATTATAATTTGAATTTTAAAAATTAAATATAAATAACTCAGATTATTAATAAATAAACATAAATTATTATAATTTGTGTTCATTATAATCATTATAAAAGTTGATTGTAATTTGAGTTCATTATAATCATTATAAATAAAAGTAAATAATTATAATTCGATTTAATTGACTTTTTCCAAAAGTAAATTTTCAATTAGCTCATAATTTAGACTCTTTCCAAAATTTAGTATACAATAAATAATATTTAATATTTAATATAATATAATTATGAGGTAATTGAGAATTTATTAATAATTTTAATGGAAATAAATTTTATTGTGTTTGATATATGTTAATAATATAATTAATTTAATTTATCGCATTCACTAATCTAATTTAGATATAAGTAATATATTAATTCAAATTTATTTTGTTAATTTAGATATATATATTTAAAAATTTTGAGTATAAAGGATAGTGACACTTTTGTCTAATAAGTCATCAATATTTAAAACTTATATAGAGTAAAAATATATATAAAATGGATAAACATCAATATTTTTATAGAAGCTAATTATTAAAATAATTATTTGTCACATTACTTTTATATAATCAATCATAGCAAGAACGCATCAAAACTCTAATCATATTACATCTTAAATTTTATCATGTATACACTATACTCCCAACTTACTATTTATCATATATCCAATTATGCTTTATTATTATATTTTAGATAATATTTTTTTATTACAAGTTTTTAAAGTCAATAATTATTCTTTTCTTTTACAAAGAGATAATTTATAGATATAATTTTTATTTTTCAAATTAAAAATATAAAATTTGTGTCTTTTTTATAATTCATTTGATATAGTAGATAAGTAACAAAATATTTAAATAATAATATTTAATTATTATTTAAGAGTCAAAAGTAATTAAATATATATATAAATATTATATATCTAAATCTTATAGAAAATCCATATGGCGACTTTGTATTTCTATCCAGCTATATCATGTGCTATGCATGATATTTTACATTTAAATTAATTTATATGATAATTAAATTACTCTATATGTTATAAAAAAATATACTGTCAATGCTAAAATATAATATTATATGAAATTCATATAAATATAATTATATTTTATTATATTATATGATTTTAAAATTATATTAGATTTAAATAAATAATAATTATTTCATCCCGCAAAGGGTGCGGGTTATTACCTAGTTCACATTATTTGACGGATCAAGAAGATATCAAAGAAGGAGAATCAGTTAACCAAGTCAATAGCCGAGCTCAATCAAACCAGAACCAAGAAGATATCACCATGACAGAACTTGCCTTATTCGGATTCAATTACTTGGTTGTCAAAGGAAAGGCTCACCAACGACCATATCCTTCACTAAATCTGGGGCCTCTATCCTCAAAAGACAATCCTGAACGTCCCTACAAGTCAGTCAAAGATCCATTTCGTCACACCAATCAAGCATTCTCCTCCATTAAAGACCAATGGCTAGGATATCATAATCCCATCACTTAAGCTATAATTATCATACTTTATGTTAAGTTTTTATTAACTTTGTTACCGTTTTTTATTTATCTTTCTGAGCATTATATAAGCTCATTTCCAGTGTATTTGATATTCAGAATATTCAAGAAATTAATCAAAGTATTTTGTTTCAAAGAAAAGTTCATCTTTGTTTACAAATTGTTCCTGCGATTTCTTTAAGTGTTTTGAAGATTCAACCTTATAGAATTTCGTGTAGAATCTCCTACGCTCTTGTGAGGATTAGCCCTTGAGCTGAGAAGAGTCTAACCCTTGGTTTTTGAGGTCTTCAAGCATCAACAAGGCTATAAAACCACCAGTCTTCTCTTCCATTCTATCAAGCTTAAAGCAATCTGTTCTAAGACACATTCCTTAAGCTTTTGAGGATTGTATCATTGGTATCAGAGCTAAAAGCTCCTTATCCAGGTGTTTTCTATTTCTCTTTTAAGTTTTTGTTATTTGTTTCCATTCAGTTTTTGAATTTTATCTGTTATAAAACAAAAAAAACTCATAAAAATTATTTTATTGTTCATCTGTCTTCTGCGAATTTTATAAAAAATTTAAAAACCTGTAAAACTATTTTGTTTCTTGTTTCTGATTTATCAAACTCTTAAAAACCACAAAAAAATATTTTTTTTTGAATTTCGAATCATTTGCAAATTTTTAAAACCATTTTTGTCCAACTGGTCAAAAACTGCTTAATTCTTTGTTCTTGTGTTTTATTAAATCAGAAAACCACATAAAAAGATTTTTTTTTCTTTCTACATTATTAATACATCTCCTTTGATCTTATTTGCTAGAAACACTTGAAGAAAATCAGAAGCATCATGGAGTATTTAGATGAGGAGAGCCCATATCAACCCTTCAATGACCAATGGAGTCAAGAAGAAGAGAGCCTTGCCTTTTTTGAAGAGGAGGTTGGCTATGAATTACCACCATGGCCTGAGGACAAAATTGACTATGGTCATGATCTAGGCAGAGGAGAACCTGAGCCTGAACCACCAGTCCACAACAAAGTCCCTTCAAACTACAAGAGATGGTATGAAGAAGAAGATGATGAATGGGGAGAAGACTATGAGGAAAACAACTCCATGGAAAAGTACATAACTGAAGATGACGAATCAAAAGGAGGATATGAGGAAGATGTAGGCCTTGAAGAGCAGCATCCTAAGCAGACAGACAACTTATGGAGTTCAACATGGAGCAACCCACCTAAAACCTCTAATTCTCTCAATTCTCAAGTTTATTTTGATTTTGATTATCAATCTGCTAATAAACTTCAACTCTATGCATTTTCAGGCAAAGAAAACTATATAGAATGGGAAAGAAACATAGATGAGTGATTCTACTACAATAACATCCTAAAAGAGGAGAGATTAGCTTATGCAATTGGCCAACTTGTTGGAGATGTCTATAACTGGTGGTTGCAAGAAGAAGATGACCGCTGGTTTTACAAGGAGCCAACCATAACCACCTGGGGAGATCTCAAAACATTACTAAAGGATAAGTATGCACCAAAAGATTTGGTACCAAAAATCCCTCAACTTTACCCAAGGAGTTTCTTCAACTACAAAGCAACAAACCATTCTCTACAAGCCAATACCATTAAAGAGCAAGTGCAAAGGACCAAGAACATGGTACACCAGCATGAGAACGTGGAGAACTGGGCTGAGAAACCTCCAATACTTAAGCTGAGATCAACACTGGCGCTCACTGAAGCCAAAAACATCCCATTCAATCAACTCTTGCAGCATTTACAAAACAATCTCCAAGGTAAGTTTCTAAACTTTAATTTTTTTTCAGAAACTAACTTAGCCTTGTTTGATGCAGGTTCTAATGTTTTGAGGACAAAACCTCTTCAAGAGGGAGAGTATGATGTAAGCATCAAAGCTCATACAATTGGAGCAAGCAAGGAAAGGAGCAAAGGAACTAAACCAGGAGAAGCATTGCTTGTAGCTGAGGATTCAAGAGGGTTCAAAGGAGTATCAACGAGCCAAAAGGGATTTATTTCTCAAGAGGAATCTTTTATACAACCAAAGGAACCGCTGGTTTTATTTAAATCAGAAGAGAACCAGGATCAAACCATTAGAAGATCAAATCAGGTGCCTAGAACCAATTTGGAGCCGTTTAATGAAACTGGGAGAAGAGGCCCATTTCATTCGACTCACCCTCTTATTCTACATTCTCAGAAGACTTCAGAAGATATACAAGCCAATATACAAGTCAAAAACCGGAGTTATTCTATTCAAACCCAAGGAGAACCACCAAAACCGCCAAATCAAGTTAATGGAATATTATTGGAATCATCTGTGAAAAGCAGGGGTTTATATTCTATCAAGCCACTTTATTCACATTATTTGATGGTTCAAGAAGATATCAAAGAAGGAGAATCAGTTAACCAAGTCAATAGCCGAGCTCAATCAAACCAGAACCAAGAAGATATCCCCATGAAAGAACTTACCTTATTCGGATTCAATTACTTGGTTGTCAAAGGAAAGGCTCACCAACGACCATATCCTTCACTCAATCTGGGGCCTCTATCCTCAAAAGACAATCCTGAACGTCTCTACAAGTCAGTCAAAGATCCATTTCGTCACACCAATCAAGCATTCTCCTCCATTAAAGACCAATGGCTAGGATATCATAATCCCATCACTTAAGCTATAATTATCATACTTTATGTTAAGTTTTTATTAACTTTGTTACCGTTTTTTATTTATCTTTCTGAGCATTATATAAGCTCATTTCCAGTGTATTTGATATTCAGAATATTCAAGAAATTAATCAAAGTATTTTGTTTCAAAAAAAAGTTCATCTTTGTTTACAAATTGTTCCTGCGATTTCTTTAAGTGTTTTGAGGATTCAACCTTATATAATTTCGTGTATAGTCTTCTAAGCTCTTGTGAGGATTAGCCCTTGAGCTGAGAAGAGTCTAACCCTTGGTGTTTGAGGTCATCAAGCATCAACAAGGCTATAAAACCACCAGTCTTCTCTTCCATTCTATCAAACTTAAAGCAATCTGTTCTAAGACACATTCCTTAAGCTTTTGAGGATTGTATCAGTTACTGATTATTTCTGCCATTGCCCACCTTGTTGTTGAAGAAGAGGTGTCACCGGCTCCAAAGAAAAGCTCCTACATTGATTTTTTTATTTATTTAATTTAGTGTTGTTATTTGGATTCTTAATGAAATGTGTACAACCAACGAGAAGATAGACATTACCGCGAATAACGCCTTTATATGTTTCCTAGTGATCTTATACTCTGCGTTTTCATCTCGATAAGCTGCCATCAATGCATCCATAAACATAGTACCTTGATGCTCGTTCATTTTCTCTTCGTATCTCCCAAGAATCCTCTCCACAAGCTCCTCAAATCTGTGTGAAACCGCCATTATATACCATTTTAACAGTGAGATCCCTAGCTTCTCAAGCGGCTTATTAAATATCTGCGCCACGAAAAACATGCGGGATAAGGCAGCTAACTTGACAGTGAATTCCGAGACTTTGGCCCCGTCATCTTCCTCCACTGAAAAACTACTTCCCATGCTCAACTTGCCTAGGGTGTTGTTAACGAGTCTCATCGCTTCCTCACCGATCTCCACGCCCTGTCCCTTTTCCGTCTTATCTAGCAGGTTTCTGTAGAACCGCTCTAGCTCAACTATACGAACCCCATGTGACCGCTCTAGAGCCTGTGGTCCGATCCCTTTAGTAGTGATTATCTTCTTTATGAACCTCCAGTAACTTCCATATGGAGCTCTGAGGAAGCCAAAAGAACCAAAAACGAGGCACTCTTCAATAGCAATAGCACCACGAAAGGAAATGTTCATGTCGTGGGCCTTGACGATCTCGTTGGCCATCGAAGCAGAGGAGACGAGAACAACGGGGACATAGAAGATGCGAAGGTTGAGGAAAGGTCCGTACTTGGATGAGATATTCTGAAAACACTTGTGGATTGGAGCAGTGAGAAGAAGGTGAAGATGACCAATGATTGGAAGAGAGGGAGGACTTAGAGGTAGATCAGAGCTATTCGTTGGTTTCTTGAAAAAGAAGGCAAAGAGAAAGAGAGTTGAAAAGAGGCAGAGGAGGGTTAAGAATAAGATGGAGCAATTTTGAAAATCGAAGATGATCAATTCTGCCATTGTTTCTCAAAATTTAAAGCGGAGGAAATAGAACAGAGGGATCCTTATATCTAGGGGTGGGCATTTCGGTTTTTGGTTTGGTTTCGATTCGGTTTCTTTGGTTTTACGGTTTATCGGTTTTACAAAAATTCAAATCATATAAAAGCCATATATATTTCGGTTCTGTATGGTTTGGTTTTTTACGGTTCGGTTTATTTTGTTTGGTTTCGTTTTTTTTAGAATTATATTTTTACAAAATTTTTTGATTCAAACTAATAGAAATAATAATAATAAATATGAATAAAATAAAATAATAAATTCAAAAAATAGAATCTAAATCATAAAAAAATCATCAATAACGACAAATTTCAAAACAGAAAAACAAATAAATTATTAAATTTTTCATAATCAATAATTATAAAACAATAAACAAATCTATATTAAAAGTTAATACCTATAAGGTTATAACCTTGAAACTAGAACTAGAAAACTTGAATGTAAAGAAAAAAATAGTTAATTACGTTATTTTTTATTGAAAAATTAAGGTTTACTTTATTATTTTTATGTAGAATTCTTTTATAAATATTATATTTTAAAAACCGAAAAAACCTTTTGGTTTGACGGTTTTTAACCAAACCAAACCTAAACCAAAACTATAAAAAATGATGGCCAAATGGATTTTTAGGTTTAACCATAACCAAACCATATCACTTTTTTCGGTTCGGTATAGTTTGGTTTTTTCGGTTATGGTTTTTGTGCCCACCCCTACTTATATCCATTAATATAAGAAGGTGTAATATGGAGATCTGAAATTATATAATAGCGTATATCAGAAGTTACTTGCATTGCACGTGATAAAATTAATTGTTCTATTGAGTAATTCCAAGGTGACAAGTAAGATTGAGATGAGTAAGAGATGCATTTGTCTTTGCTTGTAAGAATTCGACTTGCTCATGTGGAAGAGTTGTGTGTGTGTCTCATGGTTCATCTCCATTTTTTCGGATTTAAGGTTTTGACTAGTGTAGTGAAGAAGTTTATGCAGTGCGATTAAATAACAAGATTCCGCATTTCGATACTATTAATTAAAAAACATGGGTTATTTATGTTCAGTACTATCCTCTTTCTTCTTTTGTTTTGCTAAGAAGCATATGATTGAAGCGCGGTGCATTTTGTTTTTTTAATCAAAGTTTCATTTGCACGTAATTTCATTTTTTTGGTTAATGATTCGCACGCAACTTCGTGCATGATATTTTCATTCGCATGGGTTTTTTTTCATGATATTTATGCATGTCGTAACTTCATAAACTATCATCCGCATGCTATTTGCATGATATTTCTCAATTCGAAGATAAATACTCAACTAGAAGTCTAGTGGTTCCAACTTGAGGAGGAGTTGTGGTTTAGGGTAAAATTGATTTCCTTCAAACATGGAATTGTTAAACCATTCACATTCTACCACACGAATATAAGCTTTTATTTTCGGTCCATTTAAATATCCAGAAAAAAGGTTTATCCATGGATTGCACCTCTCTTAGAGATTAGTCTCAACATTTCTATAATTTTTAAATTCCCTGAATCATCATCAAAAGAAAAGAAAAGAAAAAAAAGAGATACACACTCTTAGCCTATGAAAGAGACACTCAAGCTACTTCTTACAAGACATGATTTGGTATTTAATGGTTGGTACAACTATAGTGGACCTTTCGTAACCCTTATACTCAATCCGAGTCTCGACTAAACTTAAGCTACTTTTTAGCTTCTTCTATTCTTCCAAGAAATCTTAATAAACTTAAATCTCTCAATGATCTTAGCCATGATTAGGCACTTGATATGTATCTACAACCTTCAATCTCTACCTTAGACATATAATAGCACTCTGTTACTTCTTTTCTTGTATCCAAATCTAGATACCTACATTCAACTTTGGGATGCTCATTTCGTTGCATAGAGATGTAAAGCATGTGCAATGGCTCTATCAACTTGTAATCTGTTATCACCTTTCTGAAGATACCAGTTGGATTGTAACTAACTCGTAGGTATCTTCGATACTTTGATCGCTAGGCACCTTCACCAATTTGACAAAGTGATATTTTACAAGACCTGGTTAGGCATATCATGTATAAGACCAGTGAGTTTACAAGACCTGACACTACAAAAATGGATGTATTGTATCATTTAAATTGTATTATAAAAATAAATGATACTGTTTGGTTCATTTTTACCAAAACCAATACTAAAATAACATGTGGACACCGGGTCTCAACAGAGAGCCGACTTTCTCCTCCTAGACCTGCCAGCGACTCTCTATCAGACTGTTCTTCGGCAGGTGGCGTACTTAACAAGTCAGACGTGCTAAACCAAGCCACCTGCTCTCGTGGCACACTGCACAGATAGGACAGGACGAGTTAGAGAGTGTTTAAAAGGAGATCGAAAGCCAAAAAAAGATGTCGGCGAATAAGTCGGAGATGACTACGAGATACCGGACTCGTGACTTGAGAGAATCCGACGAAGGTCCATACACACCACTAAGACATCCGGAGTAGGAGGGGAAAACCTCCAACTCCCGCCCCATCGGAGCTCATCATGAGCCCCCAAAGTCAGTGAAACCAAAGGGGAACGCTCACCGTCCCCCATGTAATACGTCTGCCAAGATAAGCGTTCCCCTCTCTTCTGTTCGTTATTCCACATCCGTAAGAAAGAGAGTTCCTACACCATTCTTCTTACGGTCCATATCTTACGCTCCACCATCAAATATTCGATGAGTGTCACAATCCCTGGATGGGATACTCAACCTATAAACCACCTCAAAATCCATCTTTTCGAGTTTCTGTTCCCGGTAGGGCGTTCACTAACTTGAGCATCCGATAACTTTTGGGAAGAAAACCCTCAAAAAGAACTTAGTAAATCGCAGGGACACTTTAAATGCAAAGAGAAGATTTCTTTGAAAACAAAAACAATACTTTCTTGATTAATAATTTTGTAACTTGAAAAGTACAAATGCTTGAGCTTATAAAAGGCTCGTAATTAATGTAAACAAACTGTAACTAACTTAAAAATAAGGCAAAGATCAAGAAATAATCTTCTACTAGCCGTTAGGCTTAAATAGGAGGATCCTTGTCTTTGGCGCTGAATGGGGGAACTCTTGATGGTCTTTGGCACGAAATGAATATCCTGAATCTTCTGATGATGATGAAGGGTAGAGATTAGATGGATGAAATAGTCGTTGGCTCTTGTTTCCTTGCTTTCTCCTTGAACAAATAAAGTTGGTTCCATCTTTGGTAGGTAGTTCTCCTTCGATATCTTTTCGGTTTTGGCTGGTTTGAGCTCGGCTATTGACTTGGTCTGGCAGTTTAGGGTCTTCAGAGCTTCAGTAATCATCAAGCGACGGTTGAATAATGTCTTCATAGGATATAAATCTGAACTTTCCATAGTTGACTTAATGCTCCAATGGCTTGATTTGGCGGTTTAAGTGGATTTGATGATTCTCCTTTGGTTTGGCTCCGGTTTCCAGCTTGTATAATGGCTTCTGCTGGTGGTTTAGGACGTTGATTATCTTCAGTAAATGATGATGGTCCGTCCCATAATATATTAGGTGAATATATATGCAAGGTTTCCAAAAACGGCTCCTTGGTTTGCTTCAGCGGTTTAGCTCCAATATCTTGAGATTTGATTTGAACCAGTGGGTAATTAGCTCGATCAAAATGCTCCTTCTGATGTATAAAGAGACGTCGTTTGGTGGTTAAGTCTTGAACAGCTCCAAGCACAGCTACAAGCTCTCCTTTCTTCACGGGTACAAGCTGTTCTGCACCCTCCTTAGCTCCAAGGTTCCATTGATCGGCTGGTCTAGTTGAAATAGGCTTGAGTCTTACATCATCCTCTCCCACTTATAGAGGTTTTGTCCTGCATCAAACAACCCTAAGTTAATTTTTGAAAAATGTTTAGAGTTTAAAAACTTACCTTGGTGATCAGCTTGTAGATGCTCAATTAGCTGAATAAATGGAATATTTTTGGCTTTCTCAAGCTCCAGTGTTGATTTAAAATCAGCTAATGGTGGCTTCTCCTTAGTGAATGTCACGTTTTCACCATTGTTGTTCATGCCATGCTCCTGAAATTCTTCAGCTTTGAACTCTTGTTCTTTAAAACCTGCAAAACATTCTCTTGGTAAAGACAAGTGCATTAAATCTGGTGGATGCAAATCTAAAAACTCACGAATAGCAAAATAACTGGCCTTCTCTTTAGCTCTGTTTTGTAAAATCCTAACATCTTTTTGTGCTAAAGGAGCAAGAATAAAATTACAGTAATTGAATGAGAAAGAATACTCATTTGTGCGGCCATTATGTGAAACACTTCTATCATACTGCCATGGCCTCCCAAGCAGTACATGCCCAGCTTGCATTGGCGCTACATCACATAAAATTTGATCCTTATACTGGCCAATGGAGAGAGGAACTTCTACTTGCTTGGACACTTTTAACTCCTCTTTGTCATTTAGCCATTTAAGCTTGTATGGCCTTGGGTGTTGCTTAGTTTTAATCCCCAGCTTTTCTACTAAACAAACACTAGCAATATTAGCACAAGATCCACTATCAATTATCAAATGACATACCTTGTCTTGTATATTGCATCTGGAGTGAAAGAGATTGTCTCTTTGTTCTAAGTCCTCCAAAACTGGTTGAGAGTTTATAGCCCTTTGTATGACCAGTAACTCTCCCTCTTCAGCGTAAATGATATGCTCTTCTTCTGAGTTTTCAGCCATGTCCTCATCTTGTCAATCATATCCTCCATCTGGTTTAAGAATCATTGTCCTCTTGTTTGGACATTCTCTTGACACATGACCCCTGCCTTGACATTTAAAACAGATAATGTCATGATGTTTATTTGAATTACTAGACTTACCTTGCTCTTGGCCATGGGGTTTGAACCGTGAATCAATAGCTATGCCCTTTCCCTTCTCTACAAATGGTGTAGAAATTGGCGGCTGTTGTTGTTGGGCTGGTTGGGGCGGTTGCTGATTCCAAGCATTGTTGTTGCTAGAGCGATTCCTTGTTGTAGCCTTCTTCTTTAT